AGTGATCGAAGTCAGAAATGAAAGGTCCAAAACCGGCTAACTTTCCAAAAAGTGGAAAACTTAGTTACTATGACCATTCCAGAGAAGGAAGGCCAGGTCCATATAGAAAGAAAGTCAATAGCAAGGAAACCAGAATTCCTTCTAAAGAGTATAGAAAGGAGTAGAGTTCCTTATAAGGCAAGTTCCCGTCTTAGCAGAAAGTTTAAAAGTAGCAGTTAGCATGGCAAAACCTTTGAAGGTGATAGATATTCTATGCCAAAAATGGCCTCGGAAGTATGGGTCAGAAAGGGGAATGAGCATCTCCATCCTAGAATGGTTAAGTCTCCCACCTCTTAAAGTGACAGGTGAAAGAGGCTTAATCATCCCAAGTTTCCAGTCCATAATGATTCTTATTTGACCCGTACATAAAAGTGAAGGCAGCAAAAGAAGAGGGCAGATAGAAAGAAACTATGGGAGAAAGACCATGGTTGGTCCAACTGGCTAAAGAAGATAGCTAAGCCATCAAACTTATTATAACTTCTATCTAAAGGGGGAGTTAGAGATCCTGATGATTTGCTAGATTTTGATTCAAAAGTTGGAAATTCCTTATTGGCAAATGGTCCTCCAACAAAAAATGGAACAGACTTAAAAATCTCCAACAGTTCTAGCAGTAGCAAAAAGATTTGTTTTGGGAGCCTTCCAGGGAATATACTTGCAATATGGTAATGGTTTTCCCTTTATTTTTTGAGCCACAGCCAAATCAGCCAACTTCGATGGAAGGAGATGTGATAGATACAAGTCCTCCTCTAGAAAGTCCTGGACATTCTAGTTCTAGGCTATTTATAATAGAACCTGATAATAATATCCAGATAGAAGAAATCTTTGAGGAAGAAGCTGAGCATCTCCAGAAGTCAAAAGGGGTTATAATTAAAGAAAACAGCCCCACAAAACCAAAGAAAATTGTGTTGAAAAAGCTACCATATGGCATGACTCAGCAGCTCAAACCTTTATATATCAAGGTACTGGTGGAAGGAAGGCCCTTGGCATGAGTTCTTGTTGATAACGGTTCAATATTGAACATTGTTTAGTCAATGTCATGCACATGCTTGGAAAGTCACCTGAAAACATCATTCTAATTGATGTATCCATAAGTGGATTCACGGGAGGAATAGTGAAGACACAAGGCATTTTACCTTTGGAATTAACGGTGGGAGATAGGACTTCCATCACAGCCTTCTTTGTCATTGAGTCTACAGCGGCCTATAACTTGCTTTTAGGCCGTGAATGGATTTACCCAAACTTTTGCATTCCATCTTCACTCCATTAAATGCTAATATTTTGGGATGGAGATGAGGTAAAACTGGTGGAGGCTGATAACCGGCCATTTATGGCAAGGGTTTACCATATAGATGCCGAGCTTTATAGTGAAGAGTTTGTTCCAATCAGATTTATTAGAAATGATAACAAGGGCCATCCAAGGAAAGCCACCATGAAGAGAACTCTCACCGAAGAGGACGTAAGAGAGCTTTTCCAAGAAACACCAAGACCAATAATTCTACCCAAGGCTGGTGCTCAGCAATACATCTCAAACAAAAGTTTTTATGGAAGAGAAACCTAAAGAAGATAGAATACTTAGCCAGGCGGTTAATTGCGGCCTTGTCAGGTTGAAAACATATCTAGCCGAACTACTGCTGGAAAGGACTGCAACTGCCAGTACCTCATTTTCAACCAATGTTTTAGAGATTATGGAAGATACTGAAGATAATTTTGATGTTATCTAACTAACAGACTTAAAGGAAGCGCCAATGAAGTTAGATGATCTCAAGGCCGAAGTGCAAGATCCACTTTTGGAAGTTAATCTTGGAACTGAGTAAGACTCTCGGCCTACCTACATCAGTAAGCTTCTGGAACCAACCTTTAGAGAAGAATTGATTTGCTTACTTCATGAGTACAAAGGTTGCTTTGCATGGACATATGAGGAAATGCTAGGACTTTTCAAAGAACTGGTAGAGCATAAACTGCCAATCAAGGAAAGTTTCAAGCCTTTCAAGCATCCTCCAAAAAGGATGTCCCAAGAAGTTATTCTAAAGGTCAAAGAAGAATAGAAAGGCTACACAAGGCTGGTTTTATAAGAACCACTAGGTATGTTGACTGGATTTCTAACATAGTTCCAGTTATTAAGAAGAATGGCAAGCTAAGGGTAGGTGTAGATTTCTGGAATATCAATCTTGTAACTCCAAAAGATGAATACCCTATGCCTATTGCTGACCAGTTGGTAGATTCTGCTGCCAAGAATGAAATTCTTTCATTCATGGATGGATATTTTGGGTACAATCAGATTTACATTACAGAGGAAGATATTGCTAAGACAACCTTTAAATGTCTAGGGTCCATTGGAACCTTTAAATGGGTTGTCATGCCATTTGGGTTGAAAAATGCCAGAGTAACATATCAAAGGGCCATGAATGCCATTTTTCATGACATTATTGGCCATTTCATGGAAGTATGCATTGATGAGGTAGTCGTCAAGTCCTCAGATAAGGTTCAACATCTCCAGAATTTGAAGATGGCTTTTAAAAAGATGAGGCAGCATAAGTTGAAGATGAATCCTTTGAAGTGTGCTTTTGGGGTTTCAGCTAGAAACTTCTTAGGTTTCCTGGTCCATCAAAGAGGTATTGAGGTAAACTAAAATAAAGCAAAGGCAATTATTGAAGCGAAGCCACCGGCCACTAAAAAAGAACTACAAAGATTTCTTGGCCAGGTTGGATATTTAAGGAGGTTCATTGAAAGAGTCATGCTTTCTCCCCATTGCCGAAGTTGAAAGGTCCTAAAGAATTTAAGTGGATAGAACAGCACCAGCAAGCTTTTGAAGGTTTGAAAAGTTACCTGACCAATCCTCCAATGATGATGCCTCTAATTAAGAAATGGCCTTTAAGATTATACTTATCGATCGCTGATGAATCAATTGGAACCCTTCTAGCCCAGACTAATGAATGGGGAAAGGAGCAAGCCATCTATTATCTAAGTAGGGTGCTCACCCCAATGGAATGTAGGTACACTTCCATTAAAAAGTTGTGTTTTTCCTTATATTATGCAGCTATGATGTTGAGAACCTATATGTTGCCAGTAGCCGTGTGTATAATTTCACAAATAGATTTGATTAAGTATATGCTTTTGAGGCCTTTAATCACTGGACGTATTGGAAAGTGGTCATTCGCCTTAATGGAGTTTTCTTTAAAATATATTCCACAAAAGGCAGTCAAAGGAAAGGCAGTGGCAGAATTTCTGGTAGATCATCCTTCCACTAAGATTAATTCAGAAGTATGTGATGAGGTGGATAATCTTTATCTCGACTATACACCTTGGACTCTTATGTTTGATGGATCAAGCACTCATGATGGAGGTGGAGCTGGAACAGTCGTCATTTCACCAAAGGGAAGAAAAACCACATTTTTTTTTTCTTGTATTTCAAGTGTACAAATAACCAAGCTGAGTATGAGGCACTAATTATTCGGCTGGAAATCCTACTAGAGCTAAAGGTGAATAAGTTCTATATTATTGGTGATTCTAACTTGATACTTAGCCAACTTTCGGAATAATATAAATGTCTCAACTGGCATTTGAGGCATTTCCATTCTGTGGCCCTGGAATTACTATGTCAGCTTGATGATTTCCAACTCAAATATTGGCCAAGGCATTTAAACATGGAGGCTGATGATCTAGCATAACTAGCCTCTCGAATGAAAGTCCCACTACGTGTAGAAGAGACCTTGATCACAATCAGAAGAAGGACTCTCCCTTCTGTAGAGTTACGGCATGAGATGGCAGATCATTTCCAAGCTAACAGGCCAGAAAGAATCAAACCTACCTAGAAGGCATGGGAGATTTTCAATGTTTATATAAATGGATTAGACTTAAAAGATTGGAGAACACCAATTATCCATTTCTTGCAGGAGCCTAGTGCCAATGTAGACAAGAGAGTTCAGCTTTTGGCACCTCATTATATTTTGATTGATGGAGATCTCTACAAAAAGAATAAAGAAGACGGACTCTTGTTAAAGTGCCTTGGCAGGGACAAGTCCATGAGAGTGATGGCAGAATCACACCTTGGAATATGCAAAGCACATCAAGCTGGAATCAAGATGAGGTGGCTACTTAGAAGGTACGGTTATTATTGGAAAGGTATATTAAAAGACTGTATAGAGTTTGTAAAGACTTGTATTGCATGTCAAGAACATGGCCCAGTCCAAAAAGTTCCAGCTATCAATATGTAGCCGATAGTGAAAATATGGCCATTCAGAGGGTAGGCTTTGGATTTTGTTGGAAAGTTAAGGCCACCATCTTCAGATAACCATACTCACATTGTGGTGGTGATGGATTACTTTACAAAGTGGGTAGAGGCTATTCCATTAAAGACCTGTGAGCAGTCAACAGTGATTGATTTTATCAAAAAGCATATTATACATAGGTTTGGAATTCCAGAAACTCTCACCACTGACAGAGGCCTTTCCTTTATTGGAAACAAAGTGCTGGATTGTTGTGCTGAGTGTGGTGTCCAAGTGATCAGTTCTACTCCATATTTTGTGCTGAGTGCAGGTTATATTAGTTAAGGTTAGAACTTAGATGTCATTTAGATTTATGGTGGCATTCAATCATAAAACACCAATCAAAAACTAGGAAAAAAAGCTGAACTTGTTTCCAAAGTCGAGATTCAAAGAACATCAACAATCACGAATATTAGAACACTTGGGAAAAAAATTATGCAATGCATCATGAAAATTAAAATGGGTCTGAAGTTGAGGAATTATGCATGTTAGGTAAAATTGTACAGTTTTGGAATACACAGAATAATAGGAAGTTCTGTAAATAGAAAAGGAACTAACAGCATTGAGCAAAATATTATGAATAATTCACAAATAGTGAATCAATACATAATTGAGTAAAGTTCAGGGCTTCAAGATATCATGACAGAATTTTCTCACCAAAAAAATACTATATGATACATATATTACATACCCATCCAAAAAGTGCTTCCATTTGGTGCAGTGTGGAGGAGAGCCTTGACACGGAATAGGAAGCGTTCCATAGATCTCTTTGTAGCAGGAATTTTGCAGGTTATAGTAGTTTGTTTTAATCCCTTCATATATATAAAATAAATAAAATTGCAACAATAGGAAAATCCCGGCAATATCAGTGTGAATAAGCAAAACATTTAGTCTAAAATTTGAACAGCAGAACTGACCTTAGCTTCAGCGCAAAGAGTCTGGATTGTTCTTGTCGCCTTTTGAAGCTCTTTCACCTTTATTCAATTTATAGAGACCCATAAGTTGGATGCAGCTCAAATTCCAAGTAGCGCATACTGCCGACTATAGCAGAAGAAATTTATCTGATCTTACCAGTTGAACTATGAGCTCATTGTGCAACAGAAATTGGGTCTGCAGGAAATCAAAAACTGAGGAACTTTTCAACGTTAGTCCCCTGACCATATATATCTTAGATAATAAAGCAGACCAAAATGTTAACCAAATACCTTTGAGGAAGGAATCCATAAACTTCCCGGCATACTTGATAGCCATGCTATGCACACTTACCTGAATCATAGTATCATCCAACTTATCAACAGTTTTGTCTTCCTTATTATTTGAGCAATAAAAGAAAATAAAAAATAAAAAAACGAATGGGAAAACGAAGAAGTATGCACTTTTGGTTAGTTAACCACCTTGTCGTGAGTCCTGCACATGATAACTAATGATACAACCACATTCACAGATTGCTTCAGTTTGTTAAGAAGTTTTTCTACAGTTTCAAGTTGAAATTCAGCTCTGGATTTCTCTAAGAGCACAACTTCCTTAACCTAAATAGATAACATGAACAAACAAGAACTCCCAAATTTTAGCCTGATGATATTCACTATATAATGTATACTCTTCCAGGAACTGAATCTACAACTCACCAACTTGTTAAGAATAGCGAGGTTCTCTTCATGCTGCACAATAAATAACATTTTAGAATTGTCTCAAAAAATAATTATAGCTTATAATGCAAAATTGGACAACAGGAGGCGCCTTACCAGTACCCGGTACCATACAACAAATGTTGCAGAAGACAGAGTTGGGAAACCATGGCAATCATCTTCTGCTATTGATTTGCGTGATGGAACCTAATACAAAACTAAAACTTATAAAGTATTTGACATTTTGTTGGGCAACTATTAAATTGGTCGAGCTGGTTCAATTTTATATTTGGACAACAATTTCTGTGATCCCAAATGGTGGCTTGGGGTTGGGATGCAACCATAATATAGAAGT